AATCAAACCTGATCAATTGTTAGTTTACTAAACAGACTTTACAAAAAGATAATTCTTGACAGATTTATAATACAAAACAAAAAAAAAGTTAACTTTATAGCTAAGCCAAATGCAGTTCTAAGTGGTTTGACAAAACACTTTAAAAACCAATTTAGAAAAAAAAGACCAAGCTTAAAAAAATATCAAAAGAATAAAAAGAAGTATATAAGCCAAAGAAATAAATTAGTAAAACTTGTAACAAAAACTTAAAAAATAGAAAAAAAAATAAAAACTATTTTAAAAAAACTTAAAACTAATACAGCTTCAGAGATATATGGTATAAGCTATACACTAATCAAGCAGACAAATAAGAAGTTACAAAAAATATTTAAAGTTTTTGCAAATCTGGTTCTAAAAAAAAAAATAATTCTATAAAAGTAAAAAATATTACAAGTATACTTAATTTCAAAAGACAAAAACTAAGAATATAGCTTAAATAGCATTAGACCAATAGCATTAATTGAGACTTTCAAAAAAGTTGTTATGAAAGTAGTAACAAAAAGGCTGTTAAAGATGTTTATAAAAAAAAAATACTTAAAAGACCAAACTATGCAGATTTGCTAGGCAACTCAACTAAGCAACCAATATATGCACTAAACATAATAATAAAAAAAATATAAAATAAAAACAAAAAAGTAAAGATATAGTAACTTAGTGAAGTGAATAAGTTGTTATCTCCTCAAGTAATAGATTGTAAGTTTAAAACCTACTGACAGTAAAATTTAGATAATCATCTATGTAATATATAGACAGTATTATGATGACAGCATTCTGTTAATTAGTTAGGATAGGATACCTGTAACTATAGTTATACTAGTATGACTGGTAGGTCTGGGCATCTGTGTAACCTATTACACAGAGGAATGCAAACCAGTATCAGGCAGTGCAAACCTAAATTAAGTTCTTGGACTGTATAAATTCGTAGAACTAGAAAGATAAAGCTTACTTGAAAATTCTAAGCAGAGAGATAATACAAATTTTTAATAATACTATCATAAAGGCTAAACCTAGAAAATAGATACCAATTTAGAGGAATTGGATGGGCAAGAATCTTGGATGAGAGGCATTACCAACCAGGCTACTGGATTTTAGACCAAAGAAAAAAGATATTGAGCTGGCTTCAATATATCAAGGATATGTTATAGTCCTTTTGGGCTATCTGAATTAAGAGTCTGAGATCAAAGCAGAGATATATTAAAAGTACTAAAGATATGCTATGAAGTCAGTGCCAGAGTCTAAGTAAACTTTGTAAGGATAGCTCTTGTTAGTGTTCTAAAAGTAGATAGATAGTTAACAACAAAGACTCTCTGCACCTTACTGGCAGATAATGTACTCTGAAATGTATAATAGTCTGGAAACTAGTACAAAAAAAGTGGGTATTATACTGTTCAGACAGTATACTGATTAGGTATATACAGGAGGTTAGTTGGAGTTACATCATAACAGGGTAAATGATCAGAAGGTTTAAATAGATAATCTCTTAGTAGGTTATAGGTACAGCATCTAGTGTAGAACCTTAGAGCAAACTACTTAAATAAGCAACTAAAAGTTGTATATGTGACTAGTTGTACTCTCATCTTTGTAAAAATAGTTATAACAACTAACCCAATAAAAGTCAATAAAGTATCATTACAAAGTATGATCTTTAACAAAAAAACAAAAAAACAAAGAAGTGTTAATATTTTTAGATTGGTTAGTTAATAGTTACAAATCAACTCTTTTCTGTAGATCTCTTATCCAAAGATTGATAAGAAGCAAAATGTAGAAAATATCACAAAACATACTAAGAAACAATACTGAGACCCTTAGTAAAAAAAAAAGAGCCACAAAAGTTATACCTAGCTAAAAAACAAAATATAAATAGAAAAGCTTAGAGGTAGCAAAGCTTGGAAAAATAAAAAAATTTTCAATGAAAATAAAAATTTTTTTGTAAATTTTAGGGAATCTCTGTGACCCTGTTGTGCAGATCAATTAGGTTACACAGAAAATACAACAAAACAAATAAGGTAAACAAACAAGCATATATACAGAAATAGTCTATCAGAGCAAACATATAACATAGAAACAGTTATATTAAATCAACTAAAAAATAAAATGACAACAATCAGTATGAGAGGAAATATATATAAAGTAAGATCTGTGAGCTTATTTGAAAAGGTGTTAAAAAGATCAATAGCACAAAGCTTACAAAGGGTTGACAATGCAGAGATAGTCAAAATACTAGAAACAACAGATGTTATAGAAACAAGAATAGACAGATATACAGCATTACTGTTTATAGCAGATGTAGCAGATATAGCAGCAGTAAGAGCATTAAGTAAAGCTATCACATAGGTAGACAAAAGAAATAAATTAATAGATTTTAGCTTTAAAATAGAGGATAGTTCACAATAGCAGAGAGAAAGAGAAACAAAAAACACAGTCTAGCCAGAAGAAATACCATATTTTTCTGAAATTAAGCTACCTTTTTTTAGGAGATTTTGAATACAAGAAACAGTAAGTAGCTTATTTTCGGGAGTTATAGCTTTTAAAATAACTTAAATATAATACAAGGGATAGCTTATTTTCAGGATTTATAGTTTTTAAAAGTAATTTAGTTTAACGAAGTAGCTTATTTTGGAAATACAAACTTTAGCATTAAAGATCCTTATATTTACTATCTTTTAAAAGTTAAATGAGTTTTTGCTGTATATAGTAAGTTATCTACGGGTATTCATAATTTATTATATACGCTCTAACAACAATAGAATATTGATATCTAATACGTATAGCTGATTCTTTAGGGGCTACGTAGGTTCACTGCAGTAAAAACTTAAATATTTATTTTGCAGCATTCATGTGTTAAATTCTTAAAAAGCATGCCTGGATCCTTAATTAATAAGCATTATCGTTATTATTATCATTTTGCATAATATAAATAATACATAATTAGTGTTCTACATCTCAATGGCAATCATACACCAAATTAAATTTATCAAAAAAATACACCTGCAAGTTGGAATTGGAGAATAGTACATAATTTATAATTTTTAGTGATAAGTTACTAAAATAGTAAGTTACTGGTATCACTTGCATTTTTATTTATGTTTTACAATAACTTACCATACCATGGTAACTTACTGGTAATTTACCATAGTAAGCAATCTTGAAAGTAACAATTATTTTTTTCTCAAGAAGTTACCTTGTTTAAACTTGTTTAAACTTACTTAAACTTTAAATTTCGCCAAATTTCCATAATGATGATAATAAGCTATAACTTTAATTGATCATACAACATTCTGTTGAAGAATTTAACTTTAAAATTCGCATTTTGCATAATCAAAATTTTCATAATGATAATGATAAGCTGTAATTTAATTAATCCTGTAACATTTTGTTGCTTGTTATTTAAAGAAAGGTTCATTTCATAGTTTTTTTTTTTTTTAAAAAAAAAAAAAAAAAGGAAAAAAACTCTACATAAAATTTACAACCCGTTCGGGCTACAAAAACCAATTAATTTCATTTGTGTAGCCTTACTATAGTAAATATGAAAAGGCAATGAAACTCTTACACAGTCAAAGAAAAAAGTAAAGTTATAGAATTGGCACACCGTACTTCAAATAAATTTGCTGCTCACTGTTATTCTCTTGATTTAACGATGGTTGGTCGGTGGGTTAAACAATTTTTACAAGACCCCCTCTTCAAAAGAGTTCCTGAAGGGTTGGTTCTGGACATCATGCATTGTTTTCTAAAGAAGAAGCCCAACTCTATGAATAGATAATGAAGCTTCGTAAAGATGGTTTTGCAGTTAATCATTCTAGTATTAAAACAAAAATGGTTGAAATTATGAGATCAAGTGCAAGACTAGCTCAAGATGAGGCAGAGAAGTTAGCAATTGCTAATTTTAAGTTTTCACAGTATTGGCTTGGTCATTTTTTAAAATGTTATGACTTTTCTCTTCACCGCAAGACTAATATTGCACAAAAGTTGCCTGATGATCTTAAGAATAAGCTATTAAAGTTTCAACAGTTTGTTATTCGCCTTTGCCAGAAAAATAATTATCCTCTTGGTATAATTGCAAATATGGATGAGATACCAGTTTGGTTTGATATAGTAGGTAACTTGACTGTGAATCCAAGAGGCATAAAAACAGTTCATGTTCGGTCAACAGAAAATGACAAAAATCGATTTACCATGGTATTAACATGCCTTGCTGATGGCACTAAGCTCCCCCAGTCATTAGTTTCAAAGGAAAAATTTGGCCTGCTAATACGCCCTCTTCTTCAGTTGATGTAATTGTTTGGTTTCAAGACAAAGAATGGATGGATGAGTTAGGAATAGAATGATAGATAAAATATTGGAATAGAATGCAACCAGAGGGACCTTATTCAAAAACAATACTTGTCTTAGATTCTTTTTCAGCACATATTTCAGAGCGAATTAAGTCTGCATTGCATTCAAGTAATACAGATCTAGCTGTTATTTCCAGAGATCTTACTAGCATGTATCAACCTCTTGACGTCTGTGTAAATAAGCCTTTCAAAGATAAGTTTCATCAACAGTGGCATAGGTTAGTGTTGTCAATTTCTTGTTCTATTAATGAAAATTATATTTTATTCTAATTTCTATTGCTCTATTTATTGTTCTTTTGTTCTATTTATTTATTGCTATATTTAATATCTAATTATAATCTGGCAATTTTTTGTTCTATTGACAAAAATCTTATTCTATTCTAATTTTTATTCTATTTTATTGTTCTTTTGTTCTATTTATTTATTGCTATATTATTTTATTATAATCTTGTTAGTAATTTTTTGTTCTATTGATAAAAATCTTATTCTATTTATTCTATTTTAAATTTTATTGCTTTATTCTATTGTTCTATCCATCTATTGCTATCAACACTGGCATAGGTAGATGGCAAATGGTGGTAATGGTCTTACTAAGGGTGGAAATTTAAATCGTGCAGATTTAAACACAGTATGTCATTAGGTGTTAAATGTGTAAGATGATATCTCTCACGATATTATTATTCGGGCATTTAAAAAATGCAGTATTTCTAATTATTTATCGGGAAGTGAGGATCATTTAATTTACAAGGATGATAGTAAGGATTCAGACGATGCTAAGTCTGTTAATAACAGGGATAAAAATGAGAATAATAATGAATATGAGATTGCAGATTATAGTGCGGTCGAAGATTCGGGCGAAGATATAGGCGAAGATACAGGCGAAGGTTCAGACGAAAATACTAACAAGGAAAATGATTTTAATAATTGGCCAGAATGCTTTGTTGTCATTTAAAATATATATATATTCAAGGTAAAAATAAATTTATTACAAGTAAATATTATTACTTATGGTTATAATATTATAAGAATGGTTATTAACAAAATATATGTTTAAATTAGAACCATGAATGATTTTCATACGTACTAGAAATATATTTGCATAGTGAACATGAAAGCTTATTGGATTTAAAAACATCAAAGACTAAACCAAGTAATATATCTGCATTAAGAAACCGTGGGGAAACTGATTGCATATTGAATAGAGCTAAAATCATTATTAATAATAATGTAGTTATTTTTGATAATACAATAAATGCTATGTTTTTGAGCTTTGAAATACCATAGAAAGTTACATACTAACGGTTGTTTAAATGTCTTAAAACAAATATCAGTGGTGTACTTGTCAGCAATCTGAGGATTTTAAAAATATCACTAATCGGCAAATGCAACACAAGTATATATACAATTTTATTTCACGATTCTATCTCTATCCTATTACTAGTATTAATTGCATATTTATTTTACACATTAATTTAATAATCAAAGAAGTAATATGAGATCTGATGTCTATAGTTTCAGTGTAATTTTTTGGAAATTTATAAGCAGAAGCATAACAAGAGTTAACTTATATAGAGGCTTCATTTATGCGTAAAATTAAGCTAATAAAATTGGGCAGTACAGTTACAATTAGAATATTAGTATATAAATTAGGACACAGAAGGTATAATGAGTATTATGATTAGAATGTATTTAGTATAACCTTTTTTTTTAGTTAAGCGAAGTAGTCTTTTAAAATATATAAATATGGTTTCAGTACATACCATTTGGGTATGATGACAGATCAGTTGAATGAATTGTCGCTTATATTTACAGTTGATATATAAAAAAAAAAAAATTTTAGAGATCTTGACTTAAACCTAATCGATCTTCTTGGTACATTTAAATTAAATAGGATGAGCAACGTAACAATTGTATTTTTTCTGATAAATTTGAAATAATCTTCAGACTCTCTTATTCTATTTCTGATTTCAAATTTTTTTGAAATACAAATAAGATTTTTCAAACTCTTATTTAATTTCAAAATGTGCCACTTTGTTTGTTAACTTTGAAACCCTCTAATAAGTGAATAATAAGGTTTTACTAATTTGAAGAGTCACTGGAAAATTTATAAAATGCTTTCGAGATTCTTAATTGTTAGATCTGAAAAAAATACTTTTAATGGCAGAATAATCACAGTAAACAGCAAAGCTAATATAGATATTTAATGCTATTATATATTTAACAGCTTTACTATATGCAAAGGTTTAATCTATTTAGAATATTTTAAAGTTTGATTGGTTAAGATTTGAAAGGTTATAACTTTTATACAGGTAGTTTATTTTCAGAATTATAAATTTTATAGATTTTTAGACAAAAATTAAAAGGTAGTTTATTTTCAAGTATTAGATATATTAGAAGTTTTTAACCAAAGTAAGGAGGGTAGCTTATTTTCAAGAGTAGCTTAATTTCAGGAAAATACAGTAACTACCAAAGTCACCATCTTGCCAAAGAATGCCTCTTTGCACAAAACCAGCAGTTATACCTTTTAATTAGGGAGCTGCATGATGATGTACATGAAGTTAAAGCCAAACTAAGATGGCAACAAAGTGAACAAAATAATGAACTTTCAAGTCAGGTGCTAAATATAAGTAAATCATTTAGTAAAAGCTTTGAAATGCGCATGGTTAAGCATTGTTTTTATGAATATATTGTGAAATAGAACGTGTTTACTAATGTTGTAAAGCATTTGTTCCCTCAAAATGTGTACTCTCCCAAAGCATCTTCAAGAAATCTCTCAGAGATTATCTGAAGGAAATGTATTCTGACTTTATGTCAAATATAAGCACAAATAAATTTACCAACCAGTTCCATGCTGAATGGTCTAGTCCTGTATGTTATAACTTTTTATCGATTATAATCGCTTATAATTTCTTATTATCTTTTAGGTTACTTATTTTATTTATTTATGTTACTAATTAATACATTATAATTATATGTGATAGTTGTTACAAAAAATGAAAAATTTTCAAGGTGCTGCATTGCAAAATGTTAGATCTGCTATTTGGTATGTATTTGGATATAAGAAGCTCCTTCTGTTAAAGAGTAATGCTGTGGCATCTGACATAGTAAGGTGGAAACAAAGTAAGGAAATCGCTAGTTGTTATTGCTCTCTTTTTGAGCAAAATGAAAGTGATGCTTTTTGGGTAGCTGTAATAGCAAGGTCAGCCTTTTCTACAACCGCAGTACCTACCTTGTCTGATGAACATTGCGCTTTCACACTTGCTATATGCAATATTTTATTGAACTTCAAGTTAAAAGGAATAATAAATAAGAAGAGTAAAATGAAACAATGCATGAAGTACTTTCTAGTAAGTTTTATCATATATACCTGTATAAAATTTGTATCAAAAAATATTATTAATAAGTTTTTATTGTAGAATAACTTCGCTAGTGGTAGCCCATTCTATAAATCTGCTGAATTATTAACTAATAATGAATTTACAAATAATGAGAGCCAAAGGTCCCATGCAACTACACTAAATAGCAGTAAATCAGAAGCAGAACTATCATCCCAACAAAGCAATATGATGCAAATGTCCCAAGACGATATAGATCAATTGTTTGGGATCAAATCTTAGCATTTTTTTTTGTTTTGTCTTTTTTTTTTTTTCTTTTTGTAATTTGTAATTACTATTTGTATTGTATGTATTGCTTTTTTTTTACATTTTAATTGTATTAAATATAATTGTAAATAAAATTATAAACAAAATTGGTTTAATAAATTTGATAGTTTGGATTCTAAAATAAATTCAATATATAGTATATAATATATACAATAGTGCATTTATTTAATCGATATGATATTATTTTAATTTAACATTAACTGCTTATATCAGCTATATATCAATTAATATCGAAAATAATATAAATCGATGTGTATATTAATTGGCTATATAGCGATTATAATCGAAATTGATGAAACTCAGCAGAAGTGATTACTATCGCTATATATCTGGTTGGTTAGTAATCAATATATATCTATATATAACTTTCCCAATGTTGTCTGGTTTAACAAATAGTTTTTTATTTTGCCTGAAATGATCTAAAAATTTAACTTTTCCCATTCCTAAGCAAAGGAAGTATATTGTTGTTGAGTAGTCTGGGCATTCTGTTGGAATACTTATAGAAGGGTCTGAGTGAATCTTTCTAACTTTTCTACTTTCTGTTGAAGCTGTAGAATAAGTTGGTTTTGAGTTTCTACTTGTTGTTGTAATTATGCTACTTGTAGTTGCAAGAGATCTGATTCTGGTAGAGTTGCATTAGTAGAGCTGGGCAGAGGGTCTACTGGTTCTGGCATAGAAGGTTCATAGATAGGGACTAGTGAAGGAGCACAGTTCTGGCAGTATTTTTAGTAGGTATCTAACTCATCTTGGTGCTTAACATGTAAGCATTTCTTGCAAAGATTAACAGAAGCACTAAACTGTCACTAAAAATTAGCAATGGCAAGCTAATAGTCAAATTCAGAGTGGCTAATATCAAAAAACTCAGCTAAGATTTGTTAAAGAAGTTGCTCTTCTTCTTCATTAAGGACAGCTTGTTTAGCTCATAGGATAAGGTCCATTTCTTTATAGGTTCATGGTCGATTAATTTGGTCATTTATTTGAGGTTTTAATGCTTTAATAATAGTAAGATTGGTTTCTTGCAAATAGACTTTGCAAGACAGAAGATATGAGTCTGGTTCATTTTATACTAAGATCTAGCACTTCTAGTTGACTCAGTGTAGTGTCTAATTTAGGTTCACAGGTTATAGTCAGAGTTGTAGAGAATATCTGTACTGGCTTTGTAAGCATATAAGTGTTTAAGCTCACAAAATCATAGTTCTTCTGTAATACTTTCTAAATTATGCATTTTGTTTCTGAGTTCAATATATTTGTATAGTTTACATTCAACTAAGGTTCCACATCTATCATCTTGAGTGTAGTAATACTAGTTTCTAGAATCATTATGATCAAGACTTTGGTGGAAATCAGTATAGCAACCTTTACAAACAAGAACTTTATCTAATTCTTGTAGAGCTTCTAGTTATTGAAGGTTCTTGCAATAGCAGCAATAGTAGGTGCAATGATTGCTATAATAGTACTGTCTCTAAGCTTCAATTTTATTAGGGTTGCATTCACATTGTTAGGTCTGATTCTGGTGCTTAAGAGAAGCTAAGAAACAATCAACAGCAATATGTTCCATCAAATTGCATTCATAACAAATATTTTCTGGGCATTGTCGATAGCAGTATTTAGTCTTTGGCAATTCTTGCAAGTTTCTCTTCGAGAAGCTTGTAGTTGACAGTAAACAGCAATATATCCTTTATGGTAACATCGGTTGCAAGTATTTTGAAGGCAATTAGCAAAAAGGTGATCAGAGGATTTACAGTTGCCACATACATGAAATAAGGCAGTTTGGATTCATCATCAAGGTTGGTAGATAGTCCATCCTTCATTGTCTGTTTCTAAGGTAAGTTAAGCAGTATATGCTTTATGAGATGTAAGAAATTCTTGCTCATAGAGGTCAAGCTCTTTTGGGTCTGTTACTGTTGGTTGGGCAGGTAAAGCATGGTCACTTTTATAGGTTGTTAGTACTGAAACCTTTTTGTTATTCCACTTGAATAAATAACAACCATTCTTCTAGTTGTAACTGATACCAACTTTTTTGGACTAGTTATTACCAAGAAGAAGGGAGTAGGAGGTAGCAGGAACAACTTCAATAGTGATTAGAATAGTCATTTCTTTAATTTCTATAGGGAGGTCTTTAATAATTTCTAGAAGACATATAGAAGTACCAGTTGCTGTGATGATTAGGCTAGTAGAGGCTTGTTCAATTTTGAGTCCTAATTCTTTGACAGTTTGATAGGCAATCATGCTAATAGCAGCACCACTATTGATAATAGCTTGGTAGGGTCTGTTTCTAAGTTGGATGTTA